CTGAGAATTGAGAAAAATTTGTTTAAGTTTGTACTTGTTTAAGTACATTTGGACACCATTTTCCCTCATTTCAATCCTTGATCAAAAAGACAACAGATAAGTCAAGAGCACTCGTTTACTCGTCTCCTCTGTTTCACTTATGAGTAAGTGCTCTCCTAAGTTGAACAGGTCAGTCGATTCCACTTGCTCAGGTCACTGCTTAGAAGGGGCAACAGTCATGGCGGCCACTGTTTTACGAATGGACTGTTGGATTAGCTCTGAGCGTCTAGTTGAACAAATAAGCAAAACTTTTTCCGGATGTCGATGTAGCACCTCATGGCGCTGTGCGGAAGTAAATTCGCGTAAGCTCAAGCGATTGAGCTCAACAACCAAAACCTTAAAAATTGGAGTCATACTTGTCACGAAGTTAAAAGAAGGACCTTTACAAAGTTCTTTGGGAGAGAACGGTTACAACTAAAGTAAAGTGCCAGTTTGTTACAGCATTGTTAATAAACATGCAAGAGAATTATGGCTGTCGTACTTTATTCATAAATGCTGTAGCTGCGTTACATTTGTGGAGCGTCTCTGTATTTACCGGCACTTGTATGGTAAAGCGTATTGAAGCAAGCCCTTCAAGCGTGTGTGACTAGTCCTTGATGTCAAAGCCACTTTAAGGGCTTGCCAATCGCCTAAACACTTTAACTTGCCTTTTTGGTGAAGTGATTCCTCCGTGATTGAAAATTTCAATGAAATATTCAGCTTGTGTGAGATGAGTAAACTTACTGATCGCAAGAAAATTTCGGAGTTCGTTCAGAATTTCGAGCTAGATTTTGTTTTCATAACCATAGTAGCAAAGGGAAGACGTGAGGTTAGTTACTCGCTTGAAAGTGCGCTGTTTCTCGTTAGATGTCAACCAACTAAAAAGGAGGTCATGTTTTATGTGGAAAATAACCATTTTTAGGAGTTGCATACCAAATTCAACTCCACTAACACTGGCATGGTTGGCATTATTGACCAACCACACACAATATACATAACACTATCTACAACAAACATTCACCTATTCATATTTTGTCAATCCATTACAAAGTTAACAAACATTAGTGTGATAGGCGTAAGCGAAGAAGGCAACAAAGGTATGCAGCTATCTACTGTGTGTCATGAATTGAAATATGTGCGCAATTATTCCTACTCAACTTTTTGCGGATTTAGCGATGAAACGTAGCTTACTATCGCTTTTGGTACAATATTACAGTGTAGCCAATCGTAATCATGATTCACGCATACATTTGTTTCTTGAGGCACCCACCGCACTCTCAGGGTTTCTGTGGAAATGGACCAATCGGAATACAATGGAGCTTACATACACCTTCATCGACTTTGAGGCCAAGTTTGTGCACATTCTCTGCATCGTTGGGTGTCGGCAGTGCTGCTTTTCATGATTCGTGCATCTGTTACAGAAACATGATCACGAAGGCGGTCACAAACGCAACTTATTTTCATACCACTCCTCAGCCTGATCATCTTATGTCGGATCCTTTCCTTTCATGGGCTGGTGGCGTTCTCAACATTAGCAAAAGCGGCACACTAATCTTTGTTCTCATCCTCATCTTCATTGCCATTATAATCGGGTGTGTTCTGCTAGTTTGCATCTGCAAGTGTTGCTGCTCTAAGCGCCAGAAACACAGAGCTACATACCAAAAAATGCCGTCGCTCTATGTAGACCAATTGCCGGGGCAGGACGGCAAGGTGGATGCCCTCGGCACGTTGGAATATTCTCTTGAATACAGCATGAAGACCAACGAACTAAAAATTGGTGTCATTCAAGTTATGGATTTAAATGCTAAGTCAGCCTCCGATCAGTTGGACCCCTATGTTAAGGTGATTCTTGTCATCGATGACCCTATTGACAAGCCCAAACCAAAGCAGAAACAAAAGCCTCCAGTCTACAGAACGAACATCAAGCATGACTGCCAAAGTGCGTGCTTCAACGAGCAATTCAATTATAAACTGCCGTATGATTGCCTCAAATTGACTCACATTCGCTTGATCGTTTATGACTATGACACAAACCTAAAGGATCTTCCTGTTGGTGAGGTTTTTGTCAGTCTGGAGGCGATTCCCATGGAGAACTACGTGGGAAAAACGTACGAAGCTGTGGGATACCTGGGTCCATCAACAGGTGCTGACGATGAACCAGGCCAACTCTGCATAGTTCTCAAACATGTGCCTCAAGCAGAGGAGCTTCATGTTCATGTCTTAGAGGCACGTCAGCTGGCACTCCCTCTAATGCACGGCAAGAAGTATCCCGAGACGTTAGTCTCGGTTACCCTACACATTGGAAATAAGAAGCTTGCAAACAAAAAGACAGGCTTCCATGAAGGCAGTGTTAATCCGTACTTTGGCGAGAATCTAATATTTAACGTAAAACGGGACAAACTTACAGTGGCAGATCTAACTTGTAGCATCAAGTATCGAGCTCATGGTGGACTGCTGAGGACCTTCGGAAAGGTTCATCTTGGGACAACTGTGAACGAAGCTTCTAACCAAAAGCAATGGCATGAAATGATCCAGAGTCCAGGCAGACCAATAGCTATGTGGCATTCTATAGTCCCCAAGATCGAACATCACTAAACGCTAGTTAATTTTCCCACGCAAAATTCTGCTTATCCAGAACCTAGTGTTTTCTTTGACCTTTCGTCTATTGCATAATTTTGACAGAAGGTTTCTACGTGATTTTAAAGAATTCAAGCGTGTTGTTAGCGGTTGCGTATCTTGGTATGAATGTTTGAGAAGCTAGGTACGTTACTGTGCATGTATACAAACGGTATTTTTGTTTAAACGACCATCTTCCAGTTCTCTTTAAATCTCTCTTTTGTGTCCACCAATCGTTGATATGTGGATTCAGTCGTTTCGCCAACTCTAAGCTTGTTGCCAAAGTACTTAGGCCTTCAAAACACACAAGTATTTAAAGGTGATATGTATTTTACCAGACTTACCTTTTACCCCAATCCTAGTGCTTATGCTATGCTTTGATATCCTGGCGTGTGCTTTAAGGAAGGTCTGCCTCTACACCTTAATCACAGTTCGACAATTTGGACGCAAAGCCTGATGTCTGTCTCCACACCACCCGCTTTCGCGCGACAACAACCTTAACTGTCTATATTTATAAACCGTGACACATACTGATTTCTCTGGCTTCGGTATTAAAACGTGTGCCTCTTCCAACAGCACGGCAAATGACTCGACAATCTACAGTCAATCACGGCACCAATTTTGAAGATGTGTGTGCAGCAATAGACCGACACTTGGTACTGAAATGCGTAATGTCGTTACCTCACCTCAATGCGCCTAAACACTCGATTTGATGGAAAGCTTGCTACGTTAACAGCCCGAGACTTGGGGAAACACTTGTGAATCCAATGAAATGTTTCTTCGAAAAATAGCATTTTAGTGATAAAATTAAGAACAGACGAGTTAGTTGCAACAATAACTTGCATTTGGAAGCTTATCGTGAAGAATTGTACAAAGTTCGATTCTTGCTTCTCAGAAAAGCATAAGGACGCACACTCACCAGCTTTGTGGCAGCACGTTTCGTCAAACTGAGGCTTCGTTGTCCAGAATTGCAAGTCTCATAACAGTGGTTTAAACTATTCCTACATGCAGGCTCTGCGCAGGAAATTGCACGATTTTTACCGCACTCCATACAATTTAGTCCAGAACTCTCGCAAACACTACCAATAAGGAAATTACAAGAATGCACAGTCATGCCGAAGGACTCGGACCCGCATCAGAACTACCGGCATGGGAACTTCACACATGCCTCAACTCAGATGCGTGAGGACGGGCGATACCCACTGCCTTGAATACGGGCGGCACTTAAATCGCCTAATTGACGCTTAAGTTGCTTTCAGATTAGTGGTAACTATTCTTCTGCCAATCCAGACTAACGAATTCGGTGGACGTCATGAACTAATGCAAATCCAACCTTTGAGAGGCTTTCCAAGCCTTTAGTTTGTGCTGCACAAATTGTGTAGAAGATTTCCTCCCATCCTTGGAGGTGATTTGAGGGTTCCATTATAAAGCATGAGCATGGGTATGTCTCAAGAGAACAAACTTGTGCCAAAGATGGGCGCATCACTCTCCTTGTGATTCAGTTGACTTGGCGGTTTTAATGACATCATAGTAAACAATTTGTTTTTTTAATCCAAACGTCGCATATAAAGGTAAAAATTTGATGATTTAATGGAAGTTAGAAGAAAATGTTAGTCGGAAAAGATCGGTCGAAAGAGGTTGGTTTGCTAAGTGATATTGCTACATCGTCGTGGAACACAGGGGTAGGTCAGCCCTGGAGTGCTCTAAATATTCATGAACGGGCAATCAGAAGGGAGATCGTGAATGCAAAGCATAACCATTTTCAGTTCCTTAACGCCATTTGGAAAATTTTGCTGAGATTCCACGCGACTTGTGCCATCCTAGCCATTTCTAGTTCTTTTTAGAACGAGTGCAAAGACGTGGTGAAACAAGATTAATCAACTCCGTAGAGTTAAATGCAAATGCTTTTGTCGGAACAACTTCTGATGGTATTGTTTACGCCGCTTGCGACAAAAGGGAAGACTTACGCAAGGGTTAGAGTTGGGGTCCCCCAAAAGCGCACAGAGGTGAGTCTCCGTGCTACATTGAGGCGAGCGCTTGCTGAACAGTGCATACACACCGACCCTTACTGATAAATGATTACGCACCGAGCCATGCAAACACACATTTGACTTGATGAGCTTATGCTCTTGCGAGTAGAAAAAACGCAACTCACTGAACTCCGTTGGTAATTACTTGTGCATACTTTATGGTGCAACAAAGCAATGAATAATAACCAAAGTCCAAGTGGATCTGTTCGGTTAGTTCATTTAAAAGTGCTGTGCTGATTCGAAAAATCTTTGTAAATATTTAAGACTCAATAAACAACACTGATAGCGCCTCATTGTACTCGTTCCTCACCAAATTCAAAAGTGGTTCAGTTTTAGCAACAACTTTGTAGGACCAGTAGCTGAACTCACAAATTTCAGAGGAATTACGTAAATAGAGTTTTTAGTTGGAGCTACTGTGTGCTAACAATTTTTGTGAAATATTCTACAACAGCGTTGGTCTGCAAGGAAAATGTCAATAAGCACACTTCACTACCGCAACGTAGTTGCTTGGTCATACGCCCTTAAGGACCCACGATGGGGTCTCTTGATGATAGCTTCCAGGTGCTGCCTCTGGGTGGATTAACTAAGGAGGCTTGGATTACTGTGCCAATCCACAGAACCGATTAGATGTGATGATGCAAAGGCACTCGAAACAGTTGCCTATGAGTCACATCCGTGCAAATAGCACACATCCACATGCATCGTGCTTTAGATCTCATCCCAACTTGTCAGACCAGCCTACATCCTGTACCAAGCTTCTTGACTTGTTTACCTATGAACACTTCAACTTCTGGGATTTGGCACTATAATAGTGAGGTGTGCCATCTCGTTGTCCCAGCTTTGTCTAGGCAGAAGCATTTAGATTTCGCTTTACGGACCCCTTCATCCAGTTCCAGTGGTATCACCCATTAAATGAGGCTGCGTTGTTTCAATGTGAAACTTTAGGAAGCAAATGCATCACCAAAATTGGATATTTTGCTGCTAGCGATAATGTTCCACTGTCTACATCGCAAATTTAGACGGCAGGAGATTTCGCAGCCTAAGCAAGATCGGGTTACGCAATTGAGTCTAAGAGCAAATCGAAGTATGCGCCAAAGAACAATTGCGAATCAGACAATGCATATACAGACCTAAAGGTAGACACTTGATGACCAGTAAAACAGTCATCTAAATAAATTATTAGGTACGAGTATCCGAATTATCGCCACCGTCTGCTCCATTGGATCAGGTTTGCCAAGCACCAGCCCTGTCATCACACAGAGAAAACAGGCCAGGAATGCACAAGCCTCTTTGGAAGCATAAGAACACCGGACGCCAGACATTAAATTTATAATTTTACAGGTTCCGCAATCTCTAACAAAATCCTAAACCAAAGTTTTTATTCGATGTCTACATTTCTATCAACATCTAAGAATAGCCTCTTGAAAACTTTTGCGTATTGACCAGTGATGAGACTAACTTCGAAATGCTCGTGTCCAGTCCTCACCTTCGAGAAATTAGCAGTGACGTGAAAACATCGCTAATTAATGAGACTTGAGTACAAATTTATTAGGAGAGACAAGAGCGAAGGTGAACGCCAATCACCTCACATCTGTTAACTCCACCAAAGGAAATGATCACTGTTACTTTGTTTTTGTCATTAAAAGTTAAATGAATTCCCCTTTTCATACGTTGTCTAAAGTGATTAGCCTCGATGAGTGGTAGCAATGTCAATGGACAGTCAAAATCAAACTTAGATGTGGTCTATGAAAAATTAGTACTTCAAATTAGTTAGCTGCATTTGGTTTGTTCATATAGTTGCCGTGACGCCTAGAAGTAATTTAAATTTTAGGCCGTTCAGACATCTCAACAAATTGAATCTGATGCACCAGGCGAAATTATTTAGCGATTCTTTATTACTCCTTTAAAGTGTGTGGAGACACTGCTAAAACACCAAATAGTCGAGCACTACACGCAGCATCATCGGTGAGTGAAACGCTCCAACAGTCTGGAGACTATTATAACCAGGTCGGCTTGTTTCAAGGGCCTCAAAACTCTACACGATCCAACTATTTTTGTTGAAGAACTCAGGCTCCGGAGCAGAGGTACGGTCGAAATACTCTAAAACGATATTTAAAAAAGCGTAAATTTAAAAGGCACAGACAAAATTCTCCTTTATTTAAGCACCATAAATGCGTTTTTGGCTACAGTCATAATAAAGTGCATCCTTCTCTTGAATTAACGACTACTTCTCATGGGAAAGCATTAGAGCCCACCAACTATTAATTATTCTGAAAAGATAAAGTTTGAAGCAACCACAATTTGTTCTAAATCTGATTCAAAACTTTTAAGTTCTTGCATGCAACAGAGACCATGGCATTACCCAGTTGCCATTTTCCACAGTTGGATCTTCGGTATGCATGCAACGATAAAAAGGTCGTTAGTAAGATGGGATTTCGTCCCACTGTTAGGATGAGAGAACTCTGACTATGGCGACTTACTGACGAGCATACCGTCGGAGATGCAGTAGGTGTGGGGTGAGCGTCTGCTAACGGAAGTAGCAGAAACTTTGTGACTACGTAGCCAGACCTGAAAGGAGGCTTCTGCTTGTCGTCGCTTCTCCTGCTGTGCCAGCCCACGCATGTAACGCTCCTTCTCACACCGTCGCCTCTCCGTCTGTTCTTCCTCCCGTTTTTTATTCAGCCATTCTTGATACTTCTCCTTGGACCTTGCCTGTTTGACAATAAAAAAGGGCCTCCTTTCTTTGTGACTTACTCCCCAAATTCATGTTTGATCGGATTATGAAATTCAATATCACTAGTAGCAACCGCCAACCACTCAAACAAAATGAAATGAAGTACCTCTTGCGCTTTCTTTTTGATAGCCTCAGCTTTCTGTTCTAACTTGGCTATTCCTGCTAACTTCTTCTGTTTCACAATTTCATTGTTTTTGTTTTCGATCCACTCTTGCACTTTTGCTCTCTCAGTTCTTTTCCTTTCTAGACGCTTCTCGTCCTCCAACAGACGCTTAGTTTCGTTTTCCACCTGTTGAAAATGATTCAATTGATAAATTGTTACTTAAAATAAGCAAGTAGAACTAAACTAATCGTCCACCTTCAATTTCGCCAGTTCATGTGTAGCTTTAATACGGTCGGCTTTCTTCTTGGCCATCCAGCGTTCCCATGGTGTAAGCTGCTTTTGAGGTAGTGGTGGGTGCACATAATTTATGATACAATCTTCAAGTGAAGTAGGCAATGGGCCAACTGACTCATCACAAATTAAGTCTGGGGTGGGAACACCTTGAGGTTGGACAATCTTAATCGAAGTCTTCCTAGCATATGGTGCCACCAAATGAGTTCTGGGAGCGGAAAAAAAGTTATGAATACTCATGATTCTACGCCATGAAAAACACCAACCTAAAGTAACAAGGAGTAGCATGAAAGAAACAACTAAATAGCTAAAATTTTCGATAAATCCAACCAGATTTTAATACAATTAATATATATTTTAACGCAAAAAGCAGATCGGCAACTGCTTTGCTGAATGAAGTTCTGCGAAAAGCAGATTGAAAGGCGATTAATAAAAAAAAACAGTGGACGACAATGTCGGATCAAATGTGCATGAAATTTAGCAGAGTTATAACGCCATTACCTCTTTGTTCTACCCGCATATCGTGGCAAACGATGATGCATCCGACTCTAAAGTACGAGAAAATATAGCACATTTTTTACAACACAATCAGTTTTCTTTCGGTCTTGGTAGGTATTATGAAAAGCAGTGCATACATGAACATCTCAAAGCCAATAGATACTCAGAACAAATAAAGCCGCAAAACTCTAGTAGGTTTACTCAATTATTTGTTTACAGAACTCTTATTGCTCAAAATACCAAATTAATGATATGTTATCAATGACTATAAGTACATGTAAGGGGAAATAGGACTTCTAATAGCACGTACTCATTAAAATTCCTTTTATATAATGTTAGCAGATTGAACATATTTGCACTTAGAGCGCAACTTGCCCCGAGCTATCTAAGCTAAAAGGATACGGATAAAGAGGTACCATGACCGCTTAAAAAACCTTCAACGATGAGGTACCTTTCAAATACATGAAATTATAGGTCCGTTTGCGAAATCAGAGAATAAAACCATAAATGTTTGAGCTGGAGAAGCTCTCATACCCTTTTATAACTTGCATTTTGACATTTACATGCCCAAAATATTCAAAAGAACAAATTTTATCATTAATACTAAGTGCACAAGAAACCAAGACTGAAGGCCTGATGAACAGAATGACCAGAAAAACACCTTGGATGTTTCACCAAACCGAAAAATTTTTCGAGTTGTTCTGTTCAACCCCATTGAAGCAACTAAAGAAAGTTAAATCAATTGATCTTTACCTTTACTAAGGCAACAGATATTGTGATCAGAAGCAAGAGATGGGGCGTTTGACTCGAACTCGTCGGTAACTAAAATATAATCTTGAAAGTAGCTATCTACCATCATTTAGGGAAGGATAAGATAATTTACAATTCGACAGAGAAATGTTCGAAAATAGGCTTTGAATTGAATCGGTACTTCCTATGCTATGGCACATGCCGCTCCCACCCATTTGAAAACCCCCTAATGTAAATATTGTCGAAACTCGCACAGCTAGCGCGGCCTTGAAGCTTAGGGCTGCAATTTGCTACCTTTTACGATTGTAACAACAGCCATTGAAATAATGTTTCAAAATTATGGTGTTACTGCTGCAGACTAGTTTTAATGAATTTGGTTGCAGCAAATTGTGAGTATTTTTTCGTAAATTCTAATCAAAACTATTAACGTTAGTTATTCTCTTCGTTAAATTTTAAAATTTCAAGTTGGCGATAGTCTGGAGTTACAAGTGTAAACCATATGCCTTTTCAAATGGTTGGCCCATTAAACGACGAAAACTGGCTTTGCAAGGTTTGCAGTGCGTGTGCTTGTGCATGGTCTGCTGGTGAGTGGTCTCGCAGCCTTAGGCTTCATATACTGCTTCGTGTTTCCAATTAAAGTTCATAGGTGCCTTGTTTTAATTATCTTGGTTAAATACATTATTCTTTCTAGTGTTCGGTTCCTTGTTTAAGCAATTCGGTTTAACTCGGAGTCTAACCTTACACCCTTTGTTGTTATTTACTCCTTCATGTCTCGTACAGTTTAGAGAGCTCTGAATTTGTTGATGCTATGTTCATTGGTCTGTTTAGTCGGACTCAGATGATTTAATATATGCTGAAATCTTTTTTTCCTAATCCAGGTTGTATATTTTCGTATTATGGCTTTCATTAACCCGAAACGAATGGGCACTTACACATTGACACCAGCGGGAACTTCTATTGCAACGGATGATTCAAATGTTGGGCAACAGATGCTTAGAAAAATGGGTTGGTCTCCACAGTCTGGCCTCGGGAAGAATGGCAATGGTGCTGTAGAGCCCGTCAAGGTACGTTTCGAATAGGTCACTTATGGCTAAGGCTTCATGCAATTATGGTAGAAAGGGGTTAGGTAAAGTTCCCACTCAGTTCTCCACTGGCATGGTTCAGCAATCAGTCTTTAACACTATCCTTCAATCTCTCACTAAACACAAATCCTCTGTTGGACCTGGGAAGAAAACCAAATTGGAGGATAAATCTAAACAAAGCCAGTCACGAGTTCATTATGGGAAGTTTGTTCGAGCAAAGGACGTTTCCCAGTATTCACAGAAATCGCTTAAGATCATTCTAGGTGGACCAGTTGGTAGAACGCAAAACTCTCCAGAACACGGCATCGCTCCCTCACCCCCAGAGAATAACTGGCCGAGAGATGCATCGATTAAGCAGGAATTTGGTGTTAAGACGTACTCCAGCTCCACTGATATGGCTAGTTACTTTTCTTTGAAGAGAAGAGCCGTAAAGTCAGACACTGAGGGGTTGGAAGCGAGAAAGCGTGCACGTCTTACGCCTCCGAATGACGAAGACAAAGAGGGGAAACCGACTTTTGCGGATGTAACTCTTGATCTCTCACACAATGCTCCCGGTAAAAGTATTCTTTATCTCACGGTTTTTCATTAGTTGATTCCTGCTCTACTAGCCCTAATCTAGAAGAAGAGGGGGTCTCAAATCGGATCAATGACACTTCTTACGAAACAAAATCGCGAGGTAACTCAAAGCCCTCGATTGTCTTTAGTCTCTACTATGCGCCCACGGTATCTCCGTGATCTATTTTTTTCTACATTGCGTGCCAAAGTTGTTAAATTACTCGCCACCACTTGGTTACTACCACGAATTCATCTTGTAGAAAGCGACATGAATGAGCTGCTATCAGAGGAGGATCAAATAGAAGCTACAGAGGGGCACACTCGACGTAAGATGACCCGACTTTGTTTAACATTATTTTCCCTAGAGCAAAGCACTGCCTTCTCATCTTCAAATGTGCACTCTCTCTCCGGTTACCCCTTCTACTAAAATTTCGCCTCTGAACTCCTGCAGTCTGTAAATAAACAGTTCGATATATTGCTCCCCCAGTGTATGTGACTGTCATTGAGCTTGCCACTTAAAAATTGAAAGTCTTGTATTGAGGAAAACTGGGGATCAATGCCATTAGAGCTCGAAAAATGTGTACAACCAAATGGGTATCGGCACAGAGACTCCTCAGCGAACATCAAGGGTGAAGCGGTATTCTTGGTCGCAGCCCATGTAAGCGTCGGACATGAAGAAGAGAGTATACTCGTGTTTGCCACCGCCTTGCGCTGACGCAGGCACCGTAAGCTCGAGGCGCACTTTGGTCGACTTAACCAGGGTCAAGCGCTTGATCGCCATCAGGCTGTTCGTCTTTACCTCTCCTACTACCAACCACCAACCCTCCTCGCGCTTCTACAACCCCAAATCGAAACATTGCACAATCGAATGTGTGCTGCAGCTTGTACCCAGGCTGTTGATAATTAAGCGCAACTTACCTGAGGGAAGAAGGGGGCAAGTACAGGACCCGCGTTGGCCTCGTCGCGTTCAATGCTCACGTTCACACTAATTGTATCCCCACTAAAAATGATATGCAGGTCTTGACATCACTCAAACCCCTCATGGGTTTGAACACTAAAATTCTTTGAAATAAACACCCAAATTCCAGTGTGCAAATGAGAAACACGAAATCTGCCAGTGATAGCTGAAGATAAAGCAGATGAGAAACCTAGTAACAGATAAAGACCTTTTAACTTGAGTCTTGTTGGTAATGGGACCGTTGGGACCGGTGAGTTCGTAATTCACCTCGACGTCCGGATATCGGTTGCAGAAGCGCGCGACATCAGCAACCTCAGCCTGTGAAAGACCATCGAGAAGCTGAGTCCGCGCACTATCCTCTAGCTCCATTAGGTCGAAGATTGATTCCACACCTGCCTCCTTACACTTAGAAATGCGCTCAGCATTGAAGTGGGGTAGTTGACGGAGATAGGAATCCTTGTGCCAAACAGCCTGTGTAACCATCTGAGAAAATTCCATAGCTGCGAGAGCAGGACCCAACCAGCTGTTACTTGATAGCACATCCACGCAAGCCTGCGAAAAAAAACGGATAGGTAAAAATGTCATAAAGTGCAGGTAAAGGGAGGCCTAGTGCCTCGATTGGAAGTCACCTGAATGAGGCGAACGGTGCACACAAGAAGCCTGTCAGTGTCTCCCTGGAGCTCTGTGGAAAGACTAATGCGAGAGAGATGAGCCTGCAACAAGAGATTGGCCTTCACATGAGGGCTGGTGTAGCTTGCCTTAGGAGCAAGCTTTTGTGGCACTTTGGTCGCCAACTGGCGCAACACTGCATCTTCGTGATGGCGCACAGGCAGGAGAGTATCGAACTCCGAGGCGTTGCTTATCACGTCGAGTAGACCCCGAATCTTCATTTTGTTCGTCAGTGACAAGCTAAACAATTCTGCAATAGATGAGAGCTCATAAATGCCCATTATGTCCACAGTACTCAAGAACGGAACATGAACGTCCACCGAAGTAATTAAGAGTCAGATGCCAGACCTAATAACGCAAGAACAAGTCGCACAAATGTGCTCTCCCAAATGCACAATTCAAGGTGCTTTGGAATTTGATATGGGCTTTTTGAAACCGACGAAACCCCTCATTAAGATACATGTTCTTTAGGGTACGTTTTCGGGAACAATTGGTAAAAGTAACTACACACACACACCACATTCCTTGAAGCCAAACGGCCTCGTTTGGTAAAGAGACGGAGTAGTGTAGTAGACTAATCAGCATTACTAACAACGGTAATAAGTGGTTAGTATGGTTCAGGCTAAAGCAAATTAGATTTTAAAAAGAAACAAAATATTTAAACAACCACAATTTAAACTAAAGAGGGCATTAATTTGAAGGACTACAGTACCATTTCTCTACGCAAGACCACACTGTAGCCGGAAACGTGATGAACTTAGATGACAGAGAATTAAACGAATTTCAAACCACACATGGGGCACGCACCAATAGTACTATGATAGATGTAGTAGTATGCAGCGATCATGCCCAAATTGAGTGGAGAAAGGTCCATCTCATCCTCAATGGCAATGCACTTGGATTGCTCCAAATCGGTCAATGTTGTCTCCACCAATTCACTCAAGTGGTCACTGAGATGTCGGTGCGTAACACCCTTGAAAAAACAAATTGGTCCAATTAGGCGTCAGATCGGCCATCCATTCAGTAGCGATAAGCTATCCTAGGCAATTGAACTCAGAACTCAGTAGAGTATCATATAAGTGGATGGATTTTGTGGTGTTGCAAGAAAACCTCTATCAAATAAAGATTAGAAAAAAGCCTTTATCCGAGGAATAACCTGCAAGTTGTAATAATTGGGGTTTTGCGTCATTCGCCGATAAAGGAATGTCCACGTCAAATAATCCACAGCATCTTGTTTATTCTCAATAGTCTTTGTAACAATTTCAGCATTAAAGTGGTCATGGAGTTCGTGATCCAAATGCGATTCAACAGGGAGAGGATCGTGCAAGAACTTCTTTAAGTACTCTCTCTTGCCCGTCTGACAAAAGACAATGGCCTTCGAGTCACTGTCCAAACCGGGTCGATTCGCTCGACCAACCATTTGAATCATGTCAATGATCGGATAGTCCTCGTAGGCATGGATCTTGCCGTTGTAGTCCTGTGTATCCAACACAATCACCAAATAGGCGGAAATAGATGACGCCCAGGCGAGATCCCGAGAAACAACCAGAGTATGTAAGGCTCCAGCGGCATATAACGCCTCCACTAAACGCCTATCACCCTTATTTAGGGCCTTATGTAGGTACGCCACACCACCACCGTAGCGCAGGATCTCCGAAAGTGCATTATCCGAAATTTGACTCGCCGCCTTTTCCAAAGCTTCCTCCAGATGACCGGAGAGAGGGACAAATTTGGGTAGTTGCTGTTGTTGAGTGCTACCCAGTGCATTGGCGGTAGCTTGCATGGTTATCAGATCGAGAGCAGTTCGCTGGGCCTGCCGTCGTGAGGCCACAAACACAATAGTGGGTCTATGCAGACCTGGTCCGGCACCAGTACTCAAATAGGCGTGATGATTGATGGCCCGAAACATAGGTCGATTCGCAGCCATTAAGCGGCTGGCCTGGTGGGCGAAGTTGAGTTCTACTATGGAGAGGTCAAGAGGTAATGGACGGGTATTGGGTTGAAAGTTGTAGCTGGCGCCAGCCGAGCAGCCCAACCAACTTGCCATGTCGCGCAAATTCGTGACGCTGTGCGCCAAACCGACTATGCGCAAAGGTTGACCACTGGACTCAATTTGACTCGCCATATAGCGCATACGCGAGCAGACCACTTCATAGACAGGTCCACCCTCTGCGCCAACAAGATGAAGATCATCAGCAATGAAGAGATTCACACCCTGCACATGTTTCCTCTGTTTCCATCGTCGCGATAGCACGTCCCAGTGATCAGGAGTGGTGACAATGATTTGGCCACGAGCAAGCAGTTTTAAGTCGACCGAGGTTTCACCCGTGAGGCGAACCACTCGTCGACCCAGTTTAGCGGCAAAGCGGGTGGACCAATCGTTATAGCGTAATTCTGACTGCTCCTCGTAGGGCGTGACGTAGACACATTTGAAAACTGGTTCACCTGACTCATCGACCTGTTGATTCGTCTGTGCTGTAGTCATTAGACGGAAAAGAGCCAGCTCAGCACAAACCGTCTTTCCACTTCCTGTAGGTGCCGCGATGAAAACGTTTTCATCCGAATTGTACAATGAGTTGAATACCTAAAGGTAGCGGACCTTGTGTCTGGGTTCAAAAATATTTTGTAAAGTATCAATAGTACCCAATCAACCAAATTTATGCCAGGAAAAGTTACCTGTTTACAATAACGTCCGGGAAATAATTAAACTACACTTCGTAAAGTGGTTCCAAGAACTCACTTGTGTTTGAATAGGATTAAAGTCTCGAATCTGGTCAACATAGAGGGCTTCAAACTCCTTGTTTCTTAAGGCAGTGACTGGAAGAGGCTGCAAGTCCAAGAGTTCAGTGGGAGGAATGGTTTTTTCCGGGAGGATGAGGTGTCGAAATGAAACTGGGAGTGTAACTTCCCCACCAATCCACCTGTCCGAGATTGCTCGAATATAATAATGTGGTGGAAGGGGATCGAAAATTGGTACGGTGAAGTGGAGTACATGCTCTTCTGTGGCGTATCGCTGTTTTAGTACAAAGAATTCTCGATGGAGAATAGTATCACCATCCACATCTTCCACGAAAATCCAAAAGGCTTGTGTATTTCCGTGCGTTTTTTCGTCCCACACGAAGTCGGGTGTGAGCGTGAGCTCCACACGAAGGACAGATCTTGTTACTGGCTGCACGTGTACACTCATCTCAAGACGAGGCAGCTGATGAAGATACTTATGAAGCGGCTTGCCCAGCTTAGCTGAGCGAACCAACTCGCCCAATTCGTGGTGGTTCATATCATAGAGACGCTCAAAGGGAAGAGCCTTCTTCTCCAATTTCGTGATAACTTCATCAGGAAGTTTTTTAAACTGCCTCAGGGGGCACATAGACTCCCACATTCGTCTCTCTATCATTTTCGCAAGAACAAGTGCGTTGTCGGCCAGTTCCGCCCACCCCTTGTAAAGTACCATCTCAAACAGTGCTCGCATCAATCGGCCTGCTGATTGAGTGATGAAAACCATATCGGACACCAATGAGAAACCCTCTAATTTCAGACCAGATATGTAGGCTTGAAGAAGACAATTAACTTTTGCAGACGAATCATCAGCGGCCTCTTTGATCGGAATTGGAACGCGTTCAAGAAGTTGCGCCAGTTCAAATTTCTCCTCCTGTCTAACAGTGATGTGTTTGAACTCAGAACTGGCAGCAAACACTCGGAAGAGTTCAATTTCACCAAGACCCGGCCGAAGTAGCTTGTTATAAGTTTGAACGGTTTCGTGGGTGAGGTAGAAGTGAGAAGCAATGCGCCCCAGCTCAGTAGACTCGAAGTTGCCTGTACGTCTTTCGTAAGTGATGAGACCGCAGCGCTCAAGCACGATTGCAGCGGTATGAATGAGATCTCGACGACGCTGCTCTAACCAGGGATCGGAGTGTTCGCTGCCCGAAGGAACTCCGTAGAGCGAAGGGGCTCTAAGCATTCGTATGTAGAGATATGTGTAGCCTAGCCAATTGACAGCATCTCGCAAACTTGAAACTGTACCTAGCACAATTTCAGCGTTCAGAAGGTCAGGAAGACGCGAAACCAGCTGACTCTCAATGGGCAACTGTTGATTCATAAGAGAGAGATAGTACTGAAGCTCCGTATGGTTTGTGATGAGAATGCCTTCACCCTTTGTATCGTATTGAGGCCGTCCTGCACGACCCAACATTTGCATAACATCCAGTGGACCCAACTCCGTCCACTTACCCTTTTCCGGATTGTAGACCTGCCAAATGATAACATTCAGACTAGAATTCAGGCATTCACAATTTACCATGAAATGGGTGAAACGAGCGTACCTGAGTGCCCTTTATAATGACTGTGTGCGCAGGCAAGTTGACACCCCAGGCCAGAGTAGCGGTGGAAACAAGAACTTGAATATGTCGATCTGCGAAGAGATCTTCGACAAGAGTACGATCTACACGGCTCATGCCGGCGTGATGCATAGCGAAGCCGTAGGGCAGTAGATCCTTCAACTCAGAATTCTTCACTTGCTCAGCCTCTTGGCGCAAGACCATGGTAGAGGCATTTTTGTCCTTCATGAAAAGTCCCAAAGTGTCCTTCTCCAGACACATGTCACGCACGGCACGCGCAGTCTTACCTGTCTCTTTGCGCGAGTGCACAAATACGAGGATCTGGTTACGACCTGCGTGCTCCACTACCTTGTCATAAACAATTTCATTCATCAATTGGAAACGCTTTACGGCCTTCTTCTCCGTTATGCCGATGTACTGCTGCTCTAGCGGAACAGGTCGGAAGCTAGAAAAGTAATGCGAAGGGTTACCTTCAAACCACAAGTTCCGACTCAAATAAACTGTTTGGATCTACATATGAGTATAATAATGAATCACTCTGAACCTTAGGTGACCAAGTATTTGGTTGCAGAACTCCATGACAAGTGCAGAATTCAGTGCTGAAGACGCTTCGAAACAAAAAGTGATGGTTCCACGTACTAGCTGTAAGAACTTAGAAACGAGAAATCTTACAAAAGGTAGGGAAAATCGTCGAAATCGTGCCCTGTAAAAGATGCAGGTTTTGATTACTCCTAATTACGACAGATTTTAAACCAAATACGAAAAGCTTTCCCTTAGAAAACAAACCAAAGTGTATGGCCAATCAAAACGAATGATAGAGAACTGGTGTGAACCATGCCTCAAACCTATTTTAGCAGTAGGTACTAGCCACAAAACATGTAAACAGGTAAGAACAACTGTAAATAACAGGAGAGAACACTCAATAGTAGCTTCACAAAAATCCAAAGGAAGATTCACCTGTTATCAAAGTAGAAAAGACCTTTTTCCACGTCGACCCGAAGGAAAGTGGCAACGTCAGTGTAGTTAGGAAGAGTAGCACTAAGCCCAACAAGGCGAATGGAATCAGGACTGGCGATTGCAGCACCAGAAACGCTGATACCGCTAGCTGCTGAGGCCTCGGTGGCACGCAGTGTCCGCGCCACAATAGCTTCAAGGATTGGCCCACGATCATCGTGGAGGAGGTGCACCTCATCGAAGATGATCAGACGCACCAAATTAATGTAAGCACGCTCATCTCCGCCTCGGCGCGTCACCACGTCCCACTTCTCTGGGGTGCAAACAATCACCTGAGTCTCAAGAATCTGCTCTCGACTTAGTTGATGGTCGCCAGTCAGCTCGTCCACCTTTATGCCGTAGCTGCTCAAGCGCTAAAAGGATCCAATCAATAAGCGAACCAGATTATTTTATTAGGCCCGTGGATAGCGCATCATTTGAGCACGTAACACTTACTTTATTGAAAGTGCCGACCATTTCCTGGACTAAAGATCGCATGGGAGCAATGTAAATAATTTTGAAGTTTTCCTTATTTATGCTGCCATCGGCATTAATGTGATGACCAATTTCGTGCATAATACAAAGGAGAGCAACGTTAGTTTTGCCAGCACCCTGAAACAGCAAGAGTAAAGTGATAATAAAGATTTACAATAAGAATAAGGGAAGAAACCACACACCGTTGGAGCACAAAGCAAAAGATTTTCATCCGTTTTCATGGCAGCGTTGTAAAGACGAGTCTGAATTCTGTTGAGAGACTTTAATCCATCAAAGGCCGCTTTTGCATATGCTGGAAGCTTTTCGATTTTTAGAAGGGTCTCGTCTTGATCAAAAGGTTTGGGTCGAAGTGCAGGCACATGCACCTCTTCATATCCCTTCTTCTGAGTCCGAAATGAGCCCTCCGGCAGCTGACACCGTTTGTTGGCCATCAAATGGCCGCCTTGCGTAAAGGTCAGATTTGCCAGATCCACAACGTCAGCAATCACGCCTCTACTATCGTCAGGCAAGCCATTATTTCCATCTCCATCACCCTTTGAGCTCTCCTAATTAAGGAAAGAATTTTTACACAAATCAAGTAGGGGATAGAGAACCAAATCGGGAACACATACACGAAGACGAGTGACTCTTTGATTCGCTTTACGATTGCGTTCATCTGCAACGCTGTCGGAAGATGCATTAGTTTCGCGCAACTGCTTCAAAATTAGAGAGAGCTTCGGATCGCTCCTCATTTTAGTTTCCACTTCAACTCTTTCTTGTACCGACTGAGCTTGGGCAAGGAGAGTACAATACAAAATCATCGACGGGTAGCGGCGAAGAACACGTAAGAAATCAAACTGCTCATAGCCGATGCACCGAACTAAACGGTTTTCCAAATCACGATCATCAGTGGCCAGCTTCAAAATATCAAGACATTCTTGTGCTTTCTTTTGAGCCAAAATGGGATCCTAAAATAGACGAAGAACTCTTCAAAAGGTTGCAGATATTGGAAACCCTGCCTAAAATATTTAAAAACAGCACCTTGCAATGTTTTGAAACATTTCGTTGAAGCCAAAAGGCATCGATATCGCGGGGGTGAAGTGTCTCCACATCACCCTTCGACCCTGAGCCCTCCTCTGTAGTTTTTGATTGAAGAGTCATTTCTTCCCCGGCCTCTTCGCCGTCGATATCATCATCATCATCATCTTTTATCTCATACTGAGTGTCATCTTCATCCTTAAAGCATAATTAAACTATGAGCGCAGAGGACGTACCTCTTGATCCGATTCTTCAAACTGAACATTAACACCATAAGCTTCGTCAATGTTTTCCTCACTGGCTTCATCATTATCATCTTTCCAATCTGTTATTTTTTTCCCAAGGCTGACAATGATGTTGTAGCGCTCATCAGCTAAGGAACCTACCAAACATATTTTCCACAACATTAACATACCTATTAAACTCTCTACTTCTTTACGACGCTCCTTGTCCCTAAGTTTGTTGTTTTTAAGAGCCGCCAACACCTCGTCCGCAGCGCCACAAAGAATTTCTCTCGACTGGTCTCCAAGCGCTTCTTGAATGCAGTGTAGAATATATTCGTAGGTCTTCCGAGTCTCTGGTGTTTTGGGTCTATATAAAACACCGACAACTTCGTCGAGATCATCACTTAAGAGAGTGACTGCTTTCAATCTCATTTCGTCATATTCTTCTTCTTCCATTTTGCGACGCTTGACTTTCTTCTCCTCCAGCAAACTTGGTCTTGTACGCTGGGCTTTGCTGCCCATATCCTCAATACGTATTTTTCCAGCAAGAGAAAGAACTTCACCAGTAGACTCGTCACGTGAGCGACGATCTATTAAGGATCGATCCGCAGTCATAACCAAGTTCGAATTAATATTATACTCGAACTGCAGGCTTCTTGCAGCTTGATCAGCCATTGTTATCTGTTGCAAAGAAGCTAGACGCAGACTCACAAAATTTCACAAATGTTCCAATTTGAATGTCAATTAAAACAAAACATCTATTACGTTTTAAACGCATAATTTATATGTAAATTATTACAGATTAAGTAAAAAATAAATATAAAATGATATTTGTTGAACCATTGTTTGTACTTACCACGCACAAGCCGCCACTTTGCGATACTGTCGGGAGGCGCGTCCTATGCTCCATGGCTTTGATCCGAAGCGTAGGGAAGTCTGTGAGGTTCTGTATGTGTACTTTACTTAAAATCATTCTTTAATTTTAAGATTTCAATTCTATTAAGCTCGCTCGACCTATACATGTTTCTGCGCAAGCACTGGTAAAAGACTATTACAAAATATTAGGAGTCAGCAAAGGGGCATCACAGTCCGATATCAAGAAAGCTTACTATCAGGTTTTTTGCATTTTTGTATCATCCTATTTTTTTAGCTTGCTAAAAAGTATCACCCTGACATAAACAAATCTGATAAATCTGCAGCACAGAAGTTTGCCGAAGTCAGTGAAGCCTACGAAGTATTCTATTCTCATTTATTGTTCATAGTACTAGGTTTTAGGTGACGAGGAAAAGAGAAGGTCATATGACTCCTTTGGCGGAACCTCACCCGGTGGGTTTTCCAGTTCAACAGGTGGCTTCGAGAACTTCACATCGCGCTTTGACCCAGAAGAACTATTTCGTCGAATTTTCAGAGACAGCGATTTTGCTTACCAGGAGTGGAGTTCTGGAGATCGCAATTTCGCTGAATCCATTTTCGGCTTCAATACAACAAGGGAGGTTGTGATCAACCTCTCCTTTGAAGATGTAGGTTGACGTGGGTGTAACTGCTTTTGACCTAATTGGTCTTAACCTTCCTCCGTTGATTTGTAGGCTGCTAGAGGGGTTACAAGAGAAGTCGCCATTAATGTTGTCGTTCCGTGTACAACGTGTGAAGGATCGCGGTGTCAACCAGGAACTGGAATGACAACTTGCCCCAAATGCAGTGGTTCCGGCCAAGAAACAGTCAGTACGGGTCCCTTCGTCCTTCGTACTACTTGTCGCCGGTGCTCCGGTACTGGTAGTGTAGTTCGATATCCGTGTCGCGCGTGTAACGGCACGGGTCAAACCATTGGCAGAGAACAGGTCAAGGTCGCCATCCCACCAGGCGTTGAGGACGGCCAGGTGTTGCGAGTTTCGGTGAACAGCGGTCGAAAGGGATCTCACTGCCAGTCGGCGCAAGAGTTGTTTGTTACAGTTCGGGTGGAGTCGAGTCCTAATTTTAGACGTGATGGTGCAGATGTTCACTCCAATGTGACAATAACTCTCGCTCAAGCGGCGCTTGGTGGGAAGATCAGAATTCCGGGTATTTACGAGCAGGTTTTGGTGACGGTATGTCCTAGTACGAGACAAGAATCTTTATTGCGACACTCTCTATCTCACTTTATCGGTCTCAGATTCCTCCTGGGTCCTCGAGTCATGACAGAATTCGTCTACCCGGGAAAGGTATCAGTCGTGTAAACGGACGTGGTTATGGTGATCACTATGTGCACCTTCATATCAGCGCTCCAAAGCAAGTGCAGAAATGTTCAAAAGTTGTACTCTACTTCTATGGCTTAATTTATGCATAAAGCCTTACTATTGCTCTTTAATGAGTCCTTTTTTACAGGCGACTCTCTGAACTTCAGCGAGCCCTTTTATTGGCCTTTGCTGAAACCGAAACGAATGTCAAAGGTTCCGTGGATGGCGTTGTGTCGACCGAATCAGGTAGGGTCTCTTCCAAAAGTACTTACTGCGTAGAACTAGCTAAGCCTGTATTAGAATGCATTAAATCTCTCCAGGAGGGGGGGTCTCAACTGTTTGTGAAAGTGTCCCTGTATTCGTATAGTTTTCTCACCAAGCAATGTCAATCTCCGACTTTAGCCCTCTCTCGTCTTCACCAAACTCTCACAAAATTGAGTAGCGGGGACGTTGGCCGATCAGGCAACAGGGATACGGCGTCAGGAAGGTACGATGATGGGGATGGTAATGATGGTTGGATGTCTCGCATCACGATTGGAGCAAAACGAGTCTTTTCTGCCGCAAAGGATGTTATAAGCGGTGGTGGTACCAGGAGCTGAAATAAAAGTGTACGCCCAGTTCCCCCTGTTTGTCTGATTTTGTAAATGCATTTGCCAAACCCGCGAAATCGGAGTGTCATTCTCACTGTTGACGTCAACAATCTGGTCATAGCTGCATTTTGTGATTCAAGATCGATGAACTTTTCGACCTCAGAATTGGCAGTGAGACCCCACCGACAACCCGCTCTGGATGCAGCTAATTACATTAGTAATCCTCAGTCAATGTGCGAGCTTCGCCATCGAAATAACCTTGTGCAAACCAAAGTGTCTTGTGGATGCCACCTTGTCCTCTCTGTTTTAGCTGGCCGCCACGCGATTGACAACACCCAGGGCTTTCTACTCTCTCGAATCCGAACTGCTGCGACGGTCAAACCCTCCCCCAGTGAATCGAAAACCGAGTCAAAGGAGCAGCCTGCGACGGACTCAGACATCCCAATGCGTAGCGAAAACGCACTCCCCAACGAAATAAAACGCGAAATCTCCTCCTAGATGCCCATCTGTCCATAAAGTTCGCTCTCCATGTCACCATTCCCCGTCAATCCCCACTTCATGCGACTTGAGTTCCACCCAAATTGTCTGTTTCACCCAGCCGTGAGCGGTTTCCAAGACAGTTGGTAATCAACTTGCCTTCCCAACTCATCTTGGGATAAAGAAGATGGAACAGTAAAGTGAAGTGTGACCTAATATTGGTAAGCTCTTCAAGGTGATCTAGGGTCGAGAGCTGACAACACTTCTTGGGGGTAGTATTTACAAGCGTTTCGGAGGCAGGACTGCAGAAGAGAAATCACGCCGTGAGGTCGACGGGTGTGTCGACTGTCAGGCCGTCTTTTGCGTCGTTGCCTAAATTTAGAAATGGGAAATGACATGTGGGGTCTACGCAGGTAGGAGGAACGACCTGTTAAACGCCTAAATGCCTTCTAGACTCAAAAGGCAGGTGAATTCATACTTATTTCGCCGGGCGTTTCTATTTTGGGTACCCTATCGGCAGGAGTACTTTCACTTGGGGCGGACTCCACCGTTCGCAGCTCAGGAGGGCAAGACGACATTGTTATTATACTTCCACCGGTCGGAGCAAGAACGTTGGCTTGAGCTCGAGCAAATCCGCTCTTCTTTGGCTGCGCGTGCTCATCTTCAGCAATTGGCACCCACTTGTAGATCAGCATGGACGTGTCTTTGACGGGAACCCACTTCTTTTCCCTAAGAAAGACACTAATAAGTAGCTGAAATAGTTGAATAGCTGAATCTCAGCATTTAGTGCCGTGAGACTAATGAAGCACCACAATATTTATGGAGGAGGAAATGACGTTATTAAGCTCCAGATGAAATTTTATTTACCACCTTTGAACCTTTTCCGTTGACTTATGAACTCTCCTAGTATCATCTCTTGCGCGACTCCGCGTTTCTGCACGTAGTGCCCTAGCAAACATGATCCCAAATTATCCACACACAAAAAAGCCACACACAACAGAAATGAGCGCGAGTCATCCATTGGTGGAATGCGTTTCTTCACTTGGCATCTTCTTGAAGGCATAAAACAAATAAATTTCAAGAGGGATAATTTTATAGCAATTTTGATGTGAGAGTAAGGATTTCATTGATTCGCACACGCCAGTTAAAGAGCCAATCTAAATTGGGCTTTAGTTGAATTTTAAATACATTTCAGAGAAAAGACAATGAAAAGGAGCTTGAATAGCATGCCCAAGTTTTGTTAGACACACCTTTCAATTAATATTGCGTAACCGACTTACATCATATGTAGTATTACACGCGCGAATGGCTATGTCGAAGAGGAACATTCCCCACTTCATAAAACTCATGCCTAAAGCTCCAAAAGGTGCTTTTTTAGGCATATTATCTTGGCTTTCCTTGGCTTAAACTACTCACAATTAAAGCCACTGTATTCCTAGAACACTGCCACGACCCAAGGCTTAGCCGTGACAGAACATTTGCTTTCAGTGAGTAGTGAAGGATGGGAGGCTATGGAATGTCCAACGGCCAGATCACAGAACAGATTTGATTGAAATGAAATTCTTAATTTGATTGCGATCCTCAACTTGTTTTATCCATCATAGTTAAGCAACTCTTCCAAGGATTTTATACAAAACTCCTATTTGCATATTTGTACATGTATTTAGGCTCCTCGAGATTTCCCACTAGGTAGAAGAAGGCATTAAGTTGTGATGGATCCCTGTATTTTACAAGAAGAATAGGGAATTCAGCCTTAGCTTGATCCGGAGTCTAGCCCAAAGCGTACAAGGTCATGACGAATACCAAACTCACCGTCAGACAGCAGATGATCACACAAGCAAGGCATCACAATGTCATATTATACATCAGTATATTCTTAAGGTTTAGTGTACTTATAACGTCTTCAATTTATTTTTTGGAAAAAAAGAGAGTACTTGAGTCCTTTATTGAGGGAGAGGTAGATCTTGCCTCAAAATCCATTTTAGGCAGCCTAGAGCAGGATGAGGGCCTTGGTTACCACGAGCATAACGATGATCAAGTAAATAAAGCATTACATAGCTGCGCTCTTCTTTTTAGTGACGTCTTAGAAGCTCTCCTTGGTATACTTCCCACGTCAGCTATCACATAGTCGGTGCTACAAGGAAGCACCCACTAGCCGACCGCGCCAGACATTAGTCCCATGAGTCTGAGGGATTGCGCTTAATCTTCTCAGCAGGTTTTGACTAGATCTGGAATAAGAAGGGAAATTCTACTGACCGAAACAGATTCATGACAAGGAAAACCGGGTCTAGCAGTCCAGTATAGAAGGGTACCGTACCCAGCGTAATTTCACCGCCAACCGCTATAGCGGACATGGATTGTAGAATACCAAAACGAAACTTTTTGGACGGTTCACGAAGATGTCGTTTCAGTCGTTAATATCTTGCAAATGGAAAATGGGGCTGAGGTAGATGTCAAATGCAGATGCCGTTCTCAGCCCTTCCGTTTCATAGATGTGAGCGATGAGCTCGTAATTCGTTCGGCAGAAGTTTGTCGCACACGGTGGAAACCTAAATGGGAGTTGTAAAAAAAGAGTTCGCTTTCTGCTGACACCATTGTGACTTCTTGAGACGCATTAGTTAGGGTTGAATGCTTGTAGCCGAGGGGAAGAGGCGTAGGTTGGGCTTGCACTGTCCAACTACCGTTTCATTTTTGAGCCATCTGCAACTATGCCTGAAAAGAAAATCTCAATAAACTAACGGGAATGGTGGCTAACCATCACGCACAGTTAAAAGGAGACAATTGGGCTTTAAAGCGCATGGCCTGATTGTCAGCGACGGAAAACGAAAACAACAAGAACACACTATTAGTATCGTCCTTTCTCGTCATATATCATTGCTATGCTTTTCGAATGTCTGTCCTCTATGGCTCCCACCATCCATTCGCCCCTGCCCGCATAGGCAGCATGCCACTCGAGCATAAATAAAATCTGCCAGGTCGAAACGCCAAAATAAACCATTTAAAGTGGCTCCCATGGGTGCGTGGGAAAGCAGTTCCATTTAAAATCCAGTCAACAGGAAGTGATGTCAGTCAATTTCTTCATCCTCCGCTAGTGTTTTATTCTTTAAATGTGCGCCACCTGATCAACAAAAAAATTAATATTTAATAGTCATACAGTTTTTTCTGGAGAAAATAAAAGGCTGCTCGCAGTCCTCACTTAGTGCAACAACTTTGGGAGCTCTTCTAGTTTTGTTAAAAGGGAATAAGCGATCGGATGCTTTAGCAAATTTAGAGAGAGCTCTGGAAAACCTCTTGCCCCCTTCAATGTCGCAGGAACTTGGACCCAACTATCATGATTATAGATTTAAACTGTTGCTAATTTTAATCTTGTTGAAGGGACTTTGATATGGAAATCAAACTAAAAGGAGCATGTAAAAAACAAAAACTGACATTTGCCAGATGAGTAAAATTTATTATTTTTTGCATTACACTAAGGTTCCCCTTACTTCTGACAAATTATTCCCCATTCCTATACCGAAAATTTTTATGGCGTCTTCTAAAATGTGCTGAACGAGAGGAAGTAACGTTGTTGGTAGTGGATGAGATGCTACTACGAGCTCCGTGCTTAAAGTGCAACACTGCCTTCATTAAGGGCATTATCAATTGTTGGGTGATTTCAGTAATTCTTGATCAGTATCACTGTTTCAAGATCATGCGTCCCGTTATTTACTTATCAACTAGTGTAATTTGAAGACTAATTCGGTGTTATCCTTTTATGAGTAACATTGTTTGATTGCGCAGTGTCTGTGTTTCTTTTAAGAGATTTATAAGGCGGGAGACGAGAGCACAATGCAGACCTCGTTCTGAGGTGCCGGGGGGAGGGGGGAAGGGAAGTGTGGCAGTCCCTCCGACGCCGATTGAGACCACACAATGCCGTGCCCACCCAATGCTCTACCATTCTCCTCTTATCTCTTATCTAATGAAGATGTTCTAAAACAACCAAATTCCTGGCACTAGGTGTAGCTGTAGGGAGAGAAGAGGGAAGGAAGAAATTCCTGCACTTCACGGGCCCGAGTTAAGGCTTCCTTCAGCTTTGAAGCCATCGACTTATAATGATAGAATTCTGGTCTACTCGTTCGACAGTGCTATGGTGTGAATAAGATAAAAATACTAAAATCACAGCCTTGCACTTAAGACCAATGTCCTATTTTAAGTTTTCGAAATCGACTCAAGCTAGCTGATGTGGCTAAGTGGATCCAGAGCAACATCTCGGGACACGGGTGCTTTTAGTGAGGGTTGGACGGTGTTGCTTTGAACCCGTTAATTCCAGTGAGGAAATTACGGCTACCATCGACAAAATATGCACACTAGAGCCAGTTGCATGTGTGATGCTTAAGGTAAGCTATCAGAGGTGTGAATAGAGCTACTGTTCTCTTGAAAGTGATGCATTATCAAATTCATCCTTTTTGTCTATTACATGAACAATCTTATCTAGGATATCCATATCCATCATCTCAATCCTACTACATCTCCTT